AGGTTCTGTGGGTGCTCGCAATTTTTTTTTTAATATGCAAATCAGGTCAGTAATATATAAAGCAGATTACGGTACTTTAAATCAGATAAGTAAGTAGTGTACAAGGTATTTCCACAAAGCAAAAAAGGAGACGACTTGAAAGCAACAGAAAACAGATATTTTTCAAAAGCAGCAAAGTAGATGATCTATCGATACACAAAACAGATGAAATCTCAAAGCAAACATCGATTCTCGCCCAAAGGCTGGTACATGGAAGTTTAACAGTTTCCAAATTCAGTTCTCGAGGTATGTCATCCATAAATTTAATAGATAAAAATGACCTGTAAGGTTACGGCTTATACGAAGGCGAGAAGAAATTGCTCTTGGCGCGTTATCGGTCTGCAGGTCATGTATCGTACATGTTCACTGACCGTAGCCGCTCGGTGACCACGTGATCAATCTCAACCGTGGGCTCTGGCGACCAGTCTCACGAATACGATGCGAGCCTGTGCTTTGGAGTAGTTTAGATGACCAGATATACTGGCTCAGCGAATACGATGTTGCAAAGGCACCGAATATAATGCTCTATGAACCTTTTATAATGCTCTATGAACCGAATCGCTGAGCACCGAGTAGCAAGTTGTTTGCACCGGGTAGCAAGATGTTCGCACCAAACCAGATACTAAACTGACCACAAATCAGGTGCAAACTGACTATGGAAAAAGCACAGAGCATGACAAACGAGTCACCGAATATAAAGAAAGCTGCACCGCTAAAACTGATCCAAGCACCGAGTATAAAGCGGTTAGCAATGAGTATAATGGCTTTCACACCAGGTGTAAGGTGGAAAGTACCGAGTACCTTGGATAAAGAGCTGAGTATAAGGTGACTGGCACCGATTATAGCAACCAGAGAACCGAATATCATGATACAAGCACCGAAGATGATAAGAAAAGCACCACGGATAAGAAAACAAAATATCATAAGACAGTTATGGCGTTTCATACTGATCCGCCCTCTGCTCTCCCTGAAAACCAGGTGACCCCCCAACTCCACCCTCTCCCCCCCCCCATAAAAAAATTCTCCACTCTCCAGGCAATAAAGAATGACTATTCCCTTACGATCAGCGAGTGTTGAAGGCCCATGTGAAATACGGTTAATATCAAAATTGTATGCAATAAAAGAGTGGCGCCTCTATAATGGAGACTGCTTTTAGGCAAGAGCCGAGTTTTTGCCTCCTTAGCTCGTGACAGTTCTGTTTTAATTGTTTCATCACCATCATAGCGGCAACACTCTGGTATCGAACGAACCATTTTATCACTAGGCTTGTTATAAACCCTCTAAGCTATAATATCAGTATACAGGTGATATTCTCTATATCGTTCTCTATAAATTCCCTAAAGTGCTGACGAGGAGAATTTGGTTAACGATCAAAGGCTGCTTTTGCTGGTGATCCTTTCCTCTCTACTCTTAACCTTAATGCTTGATTCAGCTGGAAAGGACACTTTTTACTTTACTTTTTTTTTTTTTTGTGTGTAAACTATATTTAGCTTGATGAAAGTTATTAAGTCCTTTTTTTGAGGCAAGAAGTTAACTGAGCCACGTGCAAATGAAGCAAGGAAGAAGAAATGAACATTAAAACCTTGCTGTCATAATTATTTAACCTCGGTTTAGTTTAGAGCCCATCCTAAACCCCCCCGGGCTTATCACATTACGGAACAAACCACGATGGCGATGGCAACGAGGACGCGCGTGGCAAAACAAAAGATCTGATTGGCTAAACAATAGCTCCGCAAGTAGCGTTTTAAAACTTTGTACATTTCTTAGAGACACTGCAAAATAACAGCCTGAAATCGCCAAAATTTGCATGGGTTTGAGAACGGAAACCCCTAAGGTAAATGATCAAATTTTCCATTTTGAACTCAACGCTGTTCACATAAGCTGTGTTGCCGTAAGAGACGGCGAACACATACGGCTTCTGCGTAGTTCTAAGGGAAAATTTATTGCCTGAGGATGGAATTGCGGGTTTAATTGGTTTTAAGCCCAAGTTAACGCGGAGTTCCCTCGTCGGGTAATGAATTTTCCTTGAATCGCATAATTGAATAAAAATAAGAAAAAAATAGTAACATCACATGTTAAAGGGCCCTCAACAAGGTTCTTCAGTCACGCGATCCCGATTAAGACTTTCTCTCAATCCCGTAATCCCGACGGATTAAGCCGGCCAATCCTGATCCCAATCATAATTTTTCCTTAGTCTATTTCCTCAAGTAAAAAGCTCTTTTCGTGGGGTAAAACTTTTCTCTACCACGTTTGATCCATTGAAGTCTTTACCCACCGCAAGGCGGAAGTTTATCTCTTTACCAAAACAATGATATCGTTCATTTTAGACGTTTTCAAACTTCTGCACGAATAACGAACGTTTGTCCCGGAAACGTACGTTGGGTGGAAAAATCTTGCACGCCAGCAGGAAATCCATAAAGCCACCATGATGTTTCGATGTCTGCACGGGCTAGCTCCAAGTTTACGTGGCGTGACTCTGCTTATGACCTCAGGGACTCTGAAAATAAGCTTAATGTTCCACTACCGCGCACTAATTATTACAGAAAAAGCTTTAGCTACAATGGCGCCACATTATGGAACAGTTTACCACGCGATATAAGGAACACAGAGTCTCTGGGGTTATTTAAACGTAAGATCAATGACATTGTTAAAGTCTAACGCACGGCATTCACGGAAAACAGCTTTAGTGTTATAGAATGTAGTTTTAATTTTAAATATCTTAGCGTATGTGATATGTATTTTTATAGGCTGATGAATTGATCGTGTCTAAAGAAAGAATACAATACAATACAATACAAAAACGACCTCCTCAATGCCCGCGCAAGAAATTTTTGGGTTGGGGCTAAAGACGAACGCATGACTCCTCTCGGCCTGGCTGCGTGAGAGAGTCTACCATTTTCCCCGCTAAAAATAGCTTCATGACGTCATGACCGTCCTAACATAATTTATCGGGATAATCCGGACAGTTGATTGTCCAACAAGAGTGACTTCAGTCCATTTTACAGTTGCCGGCTTGGTTGCCAAGCCTTTGGGCAGGAGTGAGGCCAAGGGTGACCTGGTTAAATACAAATTCTGCTGTCTTTCAATTGTAAATTAGTTTATCAACATGCTAACTAGATACTGGTCTCTATCTCAACAAGGACACCTTCAGCCTCATTCCAAATCAAAGGCTTGGCAACTAAGTACACAACTGTAAATGGCCTATTGGGAATTAAAAATCTATCATAAAACTTAGATATTACTTTGTCACATAAGCAGCTTAAAAAGCCTTGCTTTTCTATTACTTGGGCCACTTAAACAACACCACCAAACTTCCATAATAATTATAATCACTAGATTTGTAACTTTTTACCATCATAAATCTTTAATAACTTTTAAAATATCTTAAATACAATTGGAACAATATCATTATCCTTTAACATTAAAATAATGTAGTAAATTCATTTCCTCCTGCAAACTTTGTAAACATCAGCAAGTAAAAATTTAACATTGTCAGATGGTACAATGTAAATAGTCATTAAGGGGATAATTATTACAATACGAGGCCACTCTTGGATAATTTTATGAATTTCATCTTCAGGTGAGACTATTATTTTTCTTAAAAGTGTCAATGTACATGTGAATGATAGAAAGGATAACTTTTTTGAAGAAACTGTGGTGCTGTGTTTGTGAGGATATTTCAAGAGGATTTAGTTTTATCAACTGAATTGATATAGTAATTTAGCAACTGTAAAGAGCTTCTGAAGCTGCTGTCTCTAGCTTTGCCATTCTTTTTTCTCTGAGAACAGTTAACACTTGGAATGCCAGCCTTACAATGGCCAATTTACATTTATTTATCAACTCAGTTGATAAAAACTAATTATACGGTAAAAGATGAAATACTGTTAGCTCAAGAAGACAAGATTTATGTGCCCAAATAGGCCTGACAAGTTCTTATTCTGTGTGTGCACTGGAACACTGAGTGTAATGATTGCCCACACACCTGTGTATTTGTACCCTGTAGCTGACTCATAAACACCTTCCCTTTGAAGAATTTAAAAAATAAACTCGAATGCAGCTAACTTTTAAACCTCAGTGATCAAATTTCTTATGCTTTTAAAAGTGAAGGGAGACTGTCATATAACGTCCTTAAATATACCCCTTTCGCAAGACCACATATTGAGACCTTCGATTGAAAAATATGAATACAGTTACACAGTGTATCACTGTGCTTGCTGAATATAATGTATCATAAAAGTCGTTAGTGACAGGAAAAATTGTAAGTGACTTTTGAACAACTTCTGTTTAAGCACAAAATAATTGTGCAGTGAAATTTGAAGAATAAGATCCTCAATTTCATGGCTAACAAAATAGTATCACTTTTCAGTCTTAAATAGACTGTTGTCATGTTCTTTTTTCTAACGTTGCAAAGCTACTAGCCTGTGAGCAGGCCATCATATAATATTATGTGCTGCAAGATAAGCTTTTCTCCCTCTGCAGGAAGATTTGAGAGGAGTTAGAAAAGGTTTGCCCAGACCACTTAAAAGTCTCAAACTTTCCCACAGACAGAGACGATTGTACTGAAGTTTTAATGAGGAAGGACTGCTCATAGGCTAGTAAGCTACAAATAAATATTAGAAGGACGAGACAAACATCCAAAACAGGTCATCATCACCGCATGTGTCATATTGTCAGGCACCTTGCATTGGTGACACAAACCCACAAACCCTTTTCACCGTCCCCATGCATTAAACATGAGGCTATAAGTTTACCACTTGCTCTGAGAAAATTAACACACAATTATTAGAACCAGGTAATTGAAGCAAAGAAAATTATCAAACATACATGAAAGAGTCACTCATCAGAAATTGTATGACTGCCAAGTTTGATTTCATGGTCAGCAGCTAATACACTCAAAATTCACTGCTGGGCCAAAATTGTTCAAGTTCATTCTTTAACATTCCAAATTCTCACAACGACATTGCACGCTGTATAGGATAATGATGACCTCCAACAAAATGATACATTACCATTGAAATCCTAACACTCTGGAACAGCATAATACTGTTATCCCTTAGACCTATGCTTTCACCTTCCCACCCCCCCCCAACCCCTTTTACAATGCTGCACTCTGTGATTGTACAGCACTGAGTGATAGGGGGGGGCAGGGCATAATACGGAAAACCGCATTCAATTAGCATTTCTAAATCATTCCTAAAAAGTGGGTCTGTAGAATTTGTCGCAGATTGTAACTTAAGTTTGTTTTGGATGTGGTAGAGGGCATATAACTCATGAAATGATTTATGATGTTGGTGCTTTTTTTTCAACCAACGGCAGCCATGCGCTGCAAGACAGGTAATAGTCAGTCCTGTGGTAAAATGTCTGCGTGACACATAGGGCATTTGTCTTGCACATAGAGCCATTTTCTGAGGCACAAACTGTGAAAGAAATGATTGCATTTAGTAACTTTAGCCCTATCTAATGCTTCATAACAGATACAGCAGACATCATTTAGGTGCTCTAACTGTTCATCAGTGGCCCATTGCAAGGAGTTGAGTCTCTTCACAGCATTGCGTCGTAACAGGAAATTGTTCCATCCTTCTTGAGCTCTTTTGTAGACATTAAAGTAAGCATGCATTGAGATCACCAAAGCACCTAGGGAGGAAAAAGGCTAATTAACTCTTAACACCCTAATATCGGTATCCGTTTTCTCTATACTCTCATCTATACATTTTTTTTAGCACTGACTTGGAGAATTCATTTCACAATCAGAGCTTGTTAGGCCAGCAACCTTTTTGCTTTATTTTCATGATCTTTATAGTTCAACAGCATTTTATGGATAAATTAGACACTGATCACCCTTAGGATTTAAAGAGTTAACTTAATCTCAATTCATCATTCTAAATCTTCACAAAAAATTTCCCTGCTTGAGGTCTGGTCATTGTCAAATTCTGCAAAATTGATGATTTTGCTTGTCAACAAAATACAAGATTGATACTTTTTGAATAGCCAAGGTAAGATTATCTACATGAATTAAATTTATTTACCACTTGTCCAAAATATTATTTCAAGCTACGTCTGAGCAGTGCAATACAACAATGATTCATAATTTTATATGTAACTAGTTTTAATAATAACTTAGTACATTAAATTTTAATTAGTACAGTGCATTAACGGTAAAGATTCTTACCAATATAGTTCCACTCCCCAGTTAAGGTAGCCCATGCAGTGTATCCAAGGACAACCACGGCAACTAGGAACTCAAAAACCTTTGAGCCAGCATTGATGTAATAAACATAGTCATCTAGATCCTTCATTTGACTTTCTGAGTGTACATTGGACACAAAAAGTCCATAAATTATGAGTGATCCCATCACTTGAACAATTGTCACCAGGTTGCTGGATATGATAACAAACAACCATGCGTCAAAAGTAAACATTTGGCAGAGAACAACTATCATATATCCAGGAAGTACCAGAATCAAGACACACACTCCTATTGCACGCAAGTGTTTGCTGGTAAAAACACCAGAGTAAGTTGCACCCAATGACATGAGAGCTGGTTCTGCAAGCTCATAGGCAGACTGCAGAAACAAGGAGAGTGTGACAAACAATACCAGGCCTATAAGCATGAGGCGTTGCTGCGTGGGTACACTTGCAATTCCAACTTGAACACTCAAAAGAAAAAATGAAACACTATTGTTCCATTGTTCCTGATGACGGTCTTCCACTGGTCGCTCAATATTTCCTTTTATCAGCATGCTAGTGAAGTCTAAGATAAGATTTGCCACAAATCCAACAATCAGACTTGCTCCTGCCAAATCCAGAAGGCTGTCAAAACAATAAACTAAACTTCCAGAAAAAGCAACAGGAAAACTACGGGTTCCAATCAACAAAAGATTGAATAGAGCCAAACATTTCATTAGCCAAGTTATCATAAGAACTTGACCTAAGTTTACCCTTCTCCAGTGGTATACAAAGAGGTCTAACCATCCAAAAGTGATTACAATTCTGAATGTATTCTTTATCAGCCCTGGAACCTCCTGTAGTAGTTGGAGGATGCCAAGACAAGCTTTGTACCCTTGAATTACTGTAGCAAATACAATGTAACCCAGGCAGACATCTCGCAAAATTGAAGAAGCTTTGACAAATGGGAGTGATAGAAGCTGGATGATCACTGGGAAAATGATGAAAATTCCAACAGTTTGCTTGGCACTAACAGCTGCCCACTTGCGTGGAACAATGGCTACACTTACAGCAACAAAAACCTGGGTGTATAAGAATGAATAGCCATAAGTCGCATCAAGATGAGATGAAACATCTGGATTTGAACTGCTCCATAAGAAATCTTTGTTAGCACCTGAAGGACTATATGCTACAATGGCAGCAAATGCAATGAGAAGAACAACTTCTTCAATCAACCAAATGAAGAATTTCTGGAGATAGCTCAAGTTTGTGACTAGGCCAATTGTACCAACAAGACCACACATTACAGCTGCAATGCAATGTAAAAGGTATAAAGTTTGATTCATCATGATTCCTGAGGTGGACGAAATTGAACTCTTTGTCCCCTAAGATTAACTAGTCAGGGCTCGACACTACCTCTATGAATATAGTTACACAGCGTATCACTGTGCTTGCTGAATATAATGTATCATAAAAGTCGTTAGTGACAGGAAAAATTGTAAGTGACTTTTGAACAACTTCTGTTTTAGCACAAAATAATAGTGCAGTGAAATTTGAAGAATAAGATCCTCAATTTCATGGCTAACAAAATAGTATCACTTTTCAGTCTTAAATAGACTGTTGTCATGTTCTTTTTTCTAACGTTGCAAAGCTACTAGCCTGTGAGCAGGCCATCATATATGTGCTGCAAGATAAGCTTTTCTCCCTCTGCAGGAAGATTTGAGAGGAGTTAGAAAAGGTTTGCCCA